GAGGACAATGCATTGCTTGAACTGCTGCCGGAAAAAAGAAGTAGGTTACTTAGGCCTAGAGGGCATGAGTATGAACTCCCCCTAGTGAGAACAGAAAGATTCAAAAGGTCATTCATAAATCGTTGTCTGTATAACTTTGTTTAGACTGTAATGTATTAAAAACTTTTTAAAACTTTTTACGCTTCTTAACTTACAACTGTAAATATAACTAGATCAATTACCTTTCGATTGTAAACTCAGACGGATGTATCTGAGTATTTTAATAAAGACTATTATTATTATTATTATAATTAGTTTTGCATTTGATCACCATGAACTGTCATTTGTCTCTCATTTCGTCTTCGGCGAAAGTACAGTGACTAGCATCGCAATTGACGTCCTGCTCTAAACATTTAGAGATGTTTTCTCCTTCTCCAAAGAAATCGCTATCTGTCCGAACGGATCGAGACCGACGGACATCAATACACTCAAAGATTGGAGAAAACAGTTATAAATCTGTTGCCAATTTTTATTTTAAGATGAAATATTTTATTAGATTTCCCGATCACCTTGTACAGTATGTATCTCGTAACATTTCAATGTCAAGAATGCATAATTAACAATGTGGGCTTGTTTGGAACTTTTAGAAAAATCTTTTCGGCACATTTATAAACGCCACAATGTTTATCTAATTAAGGGTTAGCATCATCTACTAAAAATTGGGACTCGAGCGTTGATCACTTGCGACGAAGTGATTAGTCGACGTATAATCATTCGCGACAGCCGTGATAGGGGTTATAATACCCTTTCAAAGCTAACCCTGTAAATGTTTACGCTTTTTCAATGAAATGTTTTAACCCTCAAACAATACGTCCACATGTTATTGCATTACTTAATTGAGATTCGCTGCGTTATATAACATATCGCTACCGAAATTCTTCATATTATATGACATTGTATTTGCAATGTTAAATACGGTTGCATTATTACTGAACCAGTATGATTCATAATATAAACCTTATATCTGGAATATAAAATGCCAATTTATGCGTCCAGGTGGTCCTCTGTAAAATTCGATGTTCTGTTAATTAATTCTATAGTAAGGCTTGAATTGCATGGTGCTAGTTCTATATGATACATTGCTCTGTGACAATATATTTGTTAACAGGCCCTATAGTAATGTATGATGAAGATTTCATTGAAAAGACAAATGATAAAAACACTTTGCCTTCGAACTATAAAAAAGTCAACAGCCCAACAGGATGGCTAGGCGGCAGCCAACAAAAGCCAGAAACGACTATGACGTAATTAGTTAAAGGAGACAAACGCAGATTTTTGGCACTAACAGAATTTGCGATCTTGTTGATATTTTCCCTCGCCTCGCCCTTTGATGCCAACCGGGCAAGAAATGCTTCTCGCGAAAACATGTCCAAACCACGTCGTCGCTTCGACATTTCTTTTAAAATTGTATTTAAACCTGTGCTTTGCCTTTGAACTTGTGATCGGCATGCATCACTATTTTTTAGACACTATCCAATTTCCGTCCAAAATTTATCATATATCGCCATATCACCTGATCAATATTTTTTATAATATATCGCAGTAATTGTAATGACACCATAAACAACATCTTATTATTAAACGCCGAGATTGCGCGCTTGGTCGATTCACAATCAAGACAGGCAAAATTTCACGTCTATCTGAAACTAGTTGGCCGTGAAGGATACAATGTGCGGCAGTGCGGGCTTGGGCGCATAAATACATACATACTGATACTCGACATTAAGGAAATTTTATAGCAGGTGTAGAATATGTTTTCAGATTTTGTTTTGTGTGCTTATTCCCTTGCATGCTTATTACCTTATTACCTTGTTACCTTATTGCTTGCTTATGTGTGCTTATTCCCTTGCATGCTTATTACCTTGTTACCTTATTGCTTGCTTATGTGTGCTTATTCCCTTGCATGCTTATTACCTTATTACCTTGTTACCTTATTGCTTGCTTATGTGTGCTTATTCCCTTGCATGCTTATTACCTTATTACCTTGTTACCTTATTGCTTGCTTATGTGTGCTTATTCCTTTGCATGCTTATTACCTTATTACCTTATTGCTTGCTTATGTGTGCTTGTTCCCTTGCATGCTTATTACCTTATTACCTTGTTACCTTATTGCTTGCTTATGTGTGCTTATTCCCTTGCATGCTTATTACCTTATTACCTAGTTACCTTATTGCTTGCTTATGTGTGCTTATCCCCTTGTTTTCTTATTACCTTATTACCTTGTTGCTGGTCTATGCCATGTACTTATTTCACCAGGAATATAACATGTGCATTGCATACATTTTGCAATCATGATAAACCTCAGAACCGTTTTTACCTGTCCAACCTGCCCATGCAACTTGAACACTTATTACGCAATTACGAGTAATAAGACAAAAAACGCAATATACCGGTCTTATAGTGGGCATGGTATACCCTTATACCTTGGTCACTTTGCCTACATAGCTAGTTTCAATGCTTATTACCTTATTACGCGTAATAAGAGCCAAATGGCTTAACTAACGGTCTTAAAACAGGCATCATTTGGTCCCGATATCGTTCACTTTCATTTCCGGTGTCTTGGAACTGAAATATTTTTACGGTAACTACTGTAACACTTTAGAACACGCTGAGTTCAAATCCGAAAAGTTCCCGCTCCGTAGACCTGTAGTTTTCTCACAAACTGCAATTTTATCTTCACTAATTTCACGACAACTTTTTCCATTGTTCACTGAACGACACGGATCGATAACGACAAACGATTATGTCACTCAAAAATACCAATTTCTATTAACCAGTCTTCTTTTTAACAAAAGACCGGTTTGGCTCGAATCATTTTGAGTTATGTAATATTATGCGTGTTGAACGTAAACAACATATCTTGTCTACAACTTTGAGAAGGTACAGAGAAAGCTTTCTAGAATCCTCAGTTCTGGCTCTATCTCAATAAAATCACAAGGACGTTAATGTTTGGCTATGTCTTTGGGAGTGGGCTGAGAAATAACTCTTTTAATGCGATGAAGGAATTTAAAACAAAAGTAACGTGAAGCCAATGGAACGGCAAAGGCAACACTAAAATGAAATATTGTCGATGGGTTGCTGGTAGAAGACTTACGACAGGAGATAGAGATAGAGCCAGAACTGAGGATGTCAGAAATCTTTATCTGTACCTTCCCAAAATTGCAGACAAGATTATGTTGTTTACGTCCAACACGCATACTATAACATAAATCAAAATGATTCGAGCAAAACCGGTCTTTTGTTAAAAGGAAGACTGGTTGATAGATATTGGTCGATCCGCGTCGTTGAACAATGAAAAAAGTTGTCGGGAAATTAGTGAAGAGAAAACTGCAGGTCTATAGAGCGGGAACTTTTCGGATTTGAACTGAGCGTGTTCGAAAGTGTTAGTTCCCGTAAAATATTTCAGTTCCAAGACAGGTAAAATGAAAATCATTTTCTAGGCACTTTTCGAAGTCACGGCCTAGAAGTGAAGATACTGTATTCGAAAGAATTTGTATGGCTGCATGTGTGGTTTCTTTGATGCATGCTATTCGTCATATTCGGTTTGAATCCCTACTTCAATTCACAACTTAATTTTACGAAATTAACTGACCTGATGTACCTATTTCAGACCCAATGTACCTATTTCACTTCACAACTTAATTTTACTGAATTAACTGACCTGAGTGAGCCAGAAATTGAGAGTCAATGGTTTCTAATCAGAATGGAACGTTTACCACGAGGTATCAACTCTATTTTATTGGGAACAGTTTACCATCCTCCTCAGAGCGATGACCTTGTTCATCGAATGCATATCTTCAAATGTTTGGATTCTTTACTTGCCACCTGTCCTAATTCTGCCATCTTGGTCCTTGGTGATTTCAATCAATTCAAACCAGGTAATCTCTGCAACTCTTTCAGATTGAAGAAACTGGTTACCAAGCCCACCAGGGAAAGTAATATACTTGACCAAGCTTTTTCAACTCTGTCACCCTACTACGATGCCATCATCCTGCCTCCTATTGGTAAATCCGATCTTTCCAGGATCTTACTACAACCTATTTTGACACATGCTCCAAGTCTACCAACCACACGATTGCAAAAGCGTGATTATCGGGCTCCTAACAAACAAAATTTGATCTATCGTCTGAATACTGTTAACTGGACGCCACTCATGCGGCTGAATTCATGCGAGGAACAACTGGATTCTTTCCAGTCGGTAGTTCACGTTGCTTTGAATTCCTGTATCCTCATGCGTACTGTGAAACATCATCCTAACGACAAACCATGGATTACTCCTGTTATTAAAGAATCTATTAAGAAACGTCAACAAGCTTGGTTGAATAATGACTTACACCAATATAATGTTTATCGCAATAAAGTGATAAAACTCTGGAAGGGAGCACGCCAAAGATTCTACAAGGACAAAATTAATCACATGCATGAGAGTAATCCTAAAAAGTGGTGGGACGGAATCAAGCTGTTGTCTGGACTTTCTAATCCTCCCCCGTTAACAAGCTTAGCCGTAAATGGCACTGTTTTGAAGGACTTCGATCTTGCTGTCGCTATTAACGAATCCTTTTGCAGTGTTGCTGCTGACATACCACAACTAAACTTTACTCCCATACCTGTTTCCAACATTCCTGATGAGTACATTAATACCCGTGATGCCGTAGAACTTGCTTTGGTGGCTGTCGAAGATCGCAAGTCTGTAGGACCTGACGAGATTCCCAATTGGCTTTTGAAAACCTGCGCCACAACTATTAGCATCCCTGTGTGTTCCATGTTTAACTCTTCTATTAGAGAAGGACGTGTCCCCGGGCTGTGGAAATGTGCGGATGTCCTCCCGTTGGGGAAGATCTCTAGACCGAAGTCTATTGATACGGACCTTAGACCTATATCTCTAACTGCAGTGTTGAGCAAAATTCTTGAGTCTTTTGTTTTCAACTGGCTTGCCCCTATTGTTATGCCATACATCAACCCTTTCCAGTTTGGTAGTGTGAAAAAGTCTTCAACCACTCACGCCCTCGTGCATTTAGTCCTCTACTGGCTCTCTGCCCTGGAAACGCCTAACACCATTATCCGAATTTCACCGTGTCATTTTTTATCAATCAACCCTTGGCGCAACTCTTGATTGTCAATAACCAACCCCTGGAGGCTGTTAATACCATCAAGCTCCTGGGGGTAAATCTGACCTCCGATCTTAAATGGACTACACACATCAGGCACATATCCTCCAAAGCAAGCAAACGTCTGTACGCTTTAAGGATATTAAGAAGAAATGGTGTCCAACCGATTGATCTTAGGACAGTATATTGTAGTTTTATCAGACCTGTCTTGGAATATGCGTGTCCAGTCTGGCATACTCGTTACCAAAGTTCCTGACTGATGAATTAGAGCACATTCAGAGGCGTGTGTTCAAAATTATTGTTCCCCACTTGTCCTACTCCGAAAGCCTCAAAGAGCTAAAGTTGCCCACTCTCGAGGAGAGAAGGGAATTGTTATCCAGATCTTTTTACAAAAACAATTATAGTGACACTTCCAGCAAAATGTTTAATCTATTACCTGAACCTTTAGATCATCAGTACAATCTTAGACATTCCCGATCTATCTCACTTTTTAAAGCCCGAACTAAACGCTATAATGATAGTCTTTTGCCATATTGCGCACGCAAATGGAACTCTTTTTAATTTTTTAGGCTTCTATAGATTAATATATCATTTGTAAATTAGCAATCCTACGTTATTATAATTAGTATTACCAGCGTATCTATAATCTGTATATACGTATTTTGTTCTACTATTTTTAAACTATGTAAACTTGTGTTTTTCAGTTCGATTTTGAACTGCCATTCAAGTATTTTAATAAATCTAATCTAATCTAATTCAATTATTCAGGAAGTCAATTTTGGTTTCTTCAGTGGTTATCTTTAGCTAATCCAGTTTTTCTCGACTGAGATAATAATTTGCCGATTTGCTGATGAGTGGGGGTGTTCCCCCCCCCCCCCCACCCCCACTCCCTGAATCGCCGCCCCTGATTTTGTCATGACGTATAAAGTACGGCAGCAACATTTTTTATTCTGGTTGCCGAGCTATGCTACATTAGAGCTGGAAAATGGAATAAAAAATATCTGAAAAGTCTTTGTATATTCATGTTTCGCTCGCTACTCTGGTTTAAAAAAATTATTACAAAGCCCAGTCGAATTGTAATCAAGACCCAACGTTTCGACACTCCAGTCTAGTGTCTTCATCAGGGGTGATCTAAAACTGCGATCGTGGCTTCTTAAATACCCAAGGGATGACGTCACCTGCCAAGAAGTTGCATATATTCCTCTGGCAAATAGGCGCCGTCATCCCTATTCAAAGCATGATGACTCATATTTATATGCCACGCTTCTAGGTAAAGTCTTTGACCATAGCGATTGTTTGTGGTAATTACTTTAGAGTTTTCCCACGCAATCTCGTGTTTGGTGTAACATACATGTTCGGCTAAAGCTGATTTTTCCTTGTCTAAATTTGAAACAGCCTTTTGAAGTTCTTTTAGCTGTGTACCAAACTGGCGTTTAGACTGACTCAAATACTCTTTGTCGCAGTCACCGCATGGTATAGAATATATAGCATGAGTCTTCTGATTTTTTTCAACAGGATCTTTTAGCTTTGCGAAAATATGGCCTAAAGTCAAATAGGGTTTTAAGGCAACCTTAATATTACAATTACTATAATAAGATTCTCTTGATTGGTTCTGTGACACCTTGAATGTATGGAACTATTGCAAAACCCTTAACAGAGGTATCACCCTCGGAGTTATTTTGGTTCCTATAAACAGGTGGTCTCAGGAAATCATTAAGAAAACGCTTTGGGTAATTGTTTTCCCCTAAAACATGTAGAACATATTCACGTTCATTAGCTTGAGAATCACTGTTTGACGGCAACGATTCAGCTCTTTGAAGCAAAGTTTTTGCTACGGATCTTTTATGGCTTACTGGGTGATGAGAGTCGTATGACAAGTGTTTGTCTGTGTGTGCGTGGGTTCGCGATAAACATCAGTCTCTAACTTCCCTTCGACAGTTCTGTGTACATTCAAATCTAAACTAGAAAATACATGCATGCAGAAACCCTCGCTTTGCTGACAAAACCATTCCAAAGTTGTTGTCATGATGGGAGTTAGGTAACATCGAGTTGGATTCGAGTTCGAGTTGGGCTTCGAGTTGGACTTCGAGTTGGACTTCGAGTTGGACTTCGAGTTAAACTTCGAGTTAGATATTTTTCTTTACTCTTCGGGAAAATGCAGACAATTGTATTTCACCCAACCTTTTTTGCTGCGGAGCGAGCGAGCCTGAAGCAAATTTACACTTATTATATGGGGGAATTTTATCTTAAACATATGGCATCTGATCTTTATTTTGCCCCACCCGGTATACTAATAGCGGCTGCTTAAAGCGCCATCTGTAAGCTCACAGTCTACCTTGGTCTGCTTCACGCCAGTTCCGGTCCTAATATAACCAGTCACTGAAAACCCCTGATATAGGGAGTGTGCGGGGTGCAATATCTGTAACTGTAATCTGTAACTATATCAGGGTTTTCAGTGACTGGTTATATTAGGACCGGAACTGGCGTGAAGCAGATCGAGGTAAATTGTGAGCTTACAGATGGCGCTTTAAGCAGCCGCTATTAGTCCGTACCTCATTAATGATCTGCCCCCCTGACCTGACATGGTTTCCGCACAATTTTTAAATGTTATAACAAATCTGTTTACTGAGATACCTTTTTCATATCATGTACTTCATTGTTTGTATTCTTAATTCGAAACAAAAGCACTCGTACCCTAATTTATTATATAGTAGACAGTGCCGGACACAAAAATACACAGTGAGATATTTTCCATAACTAGATCTCCACTAGTGAAGATATCTTTGTTATTTTTACTAACGACTATATAATAAAAAGAACATTAAATACATGGTGGCTAGAAGTTTCATATCTTATTATTTATCTTCTCGTGGTTGATCCTATCGCATACTACACCCTGTCTCCGTACCCAAGCGTTTCTTTGTAAAAAACAGCGATGCACATATGACGAGTTGTATTGTAGCCGCCGTCTAATGCTTCCTCACACGTAGTATTAGGGAGGCTGAGGGGCGGGAATATTAAAAAAGGTAATCATTTTTAGAGTGGGATTAGATTAGAGCCAGATTAAGATTAAACCAGGGTTAGGGTTAGAGTGGGGGTTGGGTGGGGACATTGTTTACCGCAGCTGTAGGCCTTGTGGTCGTGCGCGATCGGAAATGCTCAG